TGGTGTTCTCTGTATTTTCTGGACTCGAATATAGGCCTGCTTTGCTAGGTTGGGTAAATTTTCTTGGATAATATCCTGAAGAATATTTTCCAGCTTTGATTCATTCTCTTCGTCACATTCTGGTACACCTATCAAACGTAGGTTAGGTCTCTTCTCATAGTCCCACATTTCTTGGAGATTTTGTTCATTCCTTTTTGCATTTTTTTCTCTAATCTTTGTTTCTTGTTTTATTTCATTGAGTTGATCTTCGACTTCTGATATTCTTTCTTCTGCTTTGTCAATTTGGCTGTTGAAACTTATGCATGCTTCGCGAAGTTCTCGTGTTGTGTTTTTCAGCTCCTTCAATTCATTTATATTCCTCTCTAAGTTGTCCATTCTTGTTATCATTTCCTTGAATCTTTTTTCAAATCTTTTTTCAAGGTTCTTAGTGTCTTTGCATTGATTTAGAACATGTTCTTTTAGCTCATGGAAGTTTCTCATTGTCCACCTTCTGTAGTCTGATTCCATCATTTCATCACATTCATTCTCCATCCTGCTTTGTTTCCTTGCTGTTGAGGAGTTTTGTTTTTTTCTAGGAGGTGAGGTGTTTTGGTTTCAGTTGTTTCCCTCCTTTTTGTGCTGGTTTCTTCCCATCTTTGTGGATTTATCCATCTGTCATCTGAGTAGTTGCTGACTCGTCAATTGGGTCTCTGAATGGACTTTCAGATTGTTGATGATGAAGTGTTTCTGTCACTTAGTTTTCCTTCTAACAGTCTAGCCCCTCTGCTGTATGACTGCTGAAGTTCACTCTAGGCCCTGCTTGTCTTGGGCACACCTGTAGCATCTGTTGAACAGTGAGAGATACTACCAGTTTCTTCTTCTGCTATCTTTGTCCCAGAATGATGCCCGCCAAATATCAGTCTGATCAGTCCTTTTTGAGGTGACTGTTTGGTTATACAGGGGTCAGGGAGCTGCTTGAGGAGACAGAATGTACTTTATAGGAGCCCAAGTGCTGAGCTGTGAGCTCTATTGTTCATTCAGGGCTGTTAGGCAGGTGAGTTTAGGTCTGCTGCAGCAGAACTGATAAAACCCATTTTTTCCCTGAGATGCTCTGTCTTGGGGAGTTAGGGCTTTCTTTATGAGTATCCACTGCACTGTCATGCCCAGCTAGGAGGCAGTCTAGTCACTATTTGCCTGCCGAGGCTCTGCCCTGCTACCACGGGGTCCGCCCTGCAGTCGTGAGCTCCGCCCTGTTGCTGTGGGCTCCGCCCTACTGTTGTGGGCTCTGCACTGTTGCCATAGGCTCCGCCCTGTTGCCCATGGGCTCCGCCCCTGTTGGTGGAGTCTCTCTGTTATGATGGGTTGCCTCAGCAATGGCAGGCTGTGTCAGCAATGGGAGGGTACCTCAGTAGGGGCGGAATGCCTTGGTAGTGTCGGATCCCCTCCCCCACTGAGCTGCACCATCCTGGATTCAGCTGTGCCCACAGTGAAACTCTCAACTCCAAGCATTTTGAATCGCCATTTTTTTATCTCTGTGGGGGTGGGACCCCCCTGAGCCTGATCACCTGGCTCCCTGCCTCAGAGCCCTTTTTCTCTTCTTTTTTTAAGTTGAACGGTTGACTCTCTCCCAGGTGTTTTGGTCACCTGCTGATAGGGCACCAGGATCTGTGTGATTTCTTGTGCAGCGTCCCACTACACTGGCTCAAATGTCATTTTCTGGGAATCTCCTGGTCTGGCTCACTGTCTGAGTCCCATTTAATCAGATGGATATGCTAATCTGCCCTCCTAAATCTCAGATTGCTGGTTTAACAGGGCACCCAGACCAGTGCATTTTGTGCCCGGTGCCGCTGTGCTGTGGCACCGGCTAACATGGCTGCACAAACCTAAAGGGCTGCGCTGGTGTCCCTTGTCTCTCCTGCACCTGGGAATTTCCCCATTCTGTGGGCAACAAAGATCCGCCTGGAAATATGGCTAGGACTCACCCTCTGCACCTTCACTGAGAGCTGCAATCCTGAGTTGTTCCTACCGCGCCATCTTGGAAATCCCCCTCCAAGATTATTTCTTTAAAATCTCCCTCCCTCCACAATAAGTACTGTCAAGCTTCTTTCCAAAGGTTAAATGAGACCAGTTTACACCATCATCAGCAACTTACAGGTCATATATTTTCCAACATTTTTCCCTGAAAATCATTTGTGTTTTAATATCAGTTATAATAAATTTTCCTGTGTAAAAATCTAATAAAATTATGAAAGTTGACAGCAAGCTTAAAAAATTTTCTATATTAGTGTAATGCAATTTTTAAATAGTTGAATACTGAATATACCACCTTAAGAGTTCAATGGCATTTTAGCCTTTTAAAAAATACTTTTATTGAATCCCTACAATTATGTGAAATTTGCAGCTGACATATTCCCTTTTCCAGAGAAAAAAGTTGAAACTGTGCTGAAAAACCAAAGCAAAACACGGATAACTGATAGTTTTATTTTACACATATTTATATAACTATCCAAGATGAATGTAGCCTACGGAGTTAGAATTTTGATAATCAGTTAAAGGTTTGAATACAGGAGCATATCTTTGATATGCTTCCATAACACCCTACAGTTTTCCTGTTATAACCGCACCATATGAATTCATCTTCTTGTTTGTCTTACAAATAAACCATGAATTCTGCAAGGCCAACTGCCATGTGGAATTTGCTCAGTATTTTAACTCTCATGTCCACCACAGTAGTAGGTGCTTAATAATCACTTGTCAAATGGAATTTTAAAAAGGCTTTCAGAAAAAATCTAAATAAGATATATTATGTAGAAACAGACATGTGTAGAAACCCTGCTTTATGCCGATACTGGAAGTTTGAAGTCATAGTGTTTCCATTTATAATGATCATGGTGAATGCTTAATATATGCCTAAGGTGTATTAGGAGCCAGATAATGTTTCAAGTTTGTTCTTATGTACTAACTAATTTAAGCTGAATTTTGAACGAATTCTGATAAAATAGCTAGTCAGCCCACGAGTGGTAGACATGAAACTTGAGCGTTCTGGTCCGGTTGCCTCGGCCTGGAACAGCTCCAAGCTCCACATAGATACTTTGCAGTACACTAAGAACAGAAGTGCAGTAATCTCATAAAGCCACTAGATGGCACAGCAGCTTTTGTAACAGGGGACTTCGCCTGGGGCAGTAGGGTTCTTGAGACAAAATCATTTTTTATGTTCGTAATTGGTCACTAGCAAGTAGAATCATACTTTAAATAATAAAATTATTCCCTTTAAGAATTCTATTTTTTTATCTATTGAAAGAAAACAGTTTTCCTTAAGAATAAAATAACTTCAAAATATGCGTAAAAAATAACAGTAATCTGCGTTTTGTTTTGCGTTTTCAACATAATTTCAACTTCTTCCTCTGGCACGGGAAATACGTCAGCTGCTCATTTCACATAATTATATAGGTTCAATAAAATTATTTTTTAAAATGGTAAAATGCCACTGAATTGTTAGGTGCTCAGTATTCAGTGACTTAAAAATTGGATCATACTAATATTGAAATGATATTTTTAAGCTTACTCTCAATTTTCATAATTTGATTTGATTTACGCACATGAAAAATATGTTATAACTAAAATATGAATCACAAGACACTTTTCTAAGAGGACTTGGGAGTGGATTGTTGTTAGTGATAGAATATTAGAGCTAGGAGGCCACTTGTTTCATCTTTTTTTCCCACAGCTGTGGGAACTAAGGAGTATAGAGGTCATTATTTATTACTAAGCAGTGTGGGAAATCCACATTTCTGCTTGCCATTTGTCAACAGTTTAAAGATACCATATATATCATACATTTCCAACATGTAGAGTGGTGTATGGCAAATTACATTTATAAAACAATTTTGAAGATAATCGAGTGTATTAGGTCATTCTTGCATTGCTATAAATATCTGAGACTGGGTAATTTTAAAAGAAAAGAGGTTTAACTGGCTTACCTTTCTGCAGTTTTTACAAGCATAATGCAGACACTGCTCAGCGTCTGCAGAGGCCTTAGGGAGCTTTTACTAATGGTGGAAGGCGAAGTGGGAGCAGGCATGCCAGATGGAGAAAGCAGGAGAGAGAGAGAAAGAGAAAGAGACAGAAGGTGCATACTTTTTATTATTATTATTATTATTATTATTATTATTATTATTATTTGAGATGGAGTCTTACCCTATCGTGCCATTGCACTCCATCCGGGCTGGAGTGCAATGGCGCAATTTTGGCTCACTGCAACCTCTGCCTTCCACATTCAAGTAATTCTCTGCCTCAGTCTCCCGAGCAGCTGGGATTACAGGCGCCCGCCACCAGACCCAGCTAAATATGTTTTTGTTTGTTTGTTTGTCTGTTTTTGTTTTTGTTTTTGTATTTTTAGTAGAGACCGGGTTTCACCATGTTGGCCAGGCTGGTCTTCAACTCCTGGCCTCCCAAAGTGTTGGGATTACAGTTGTGAACCACTGGGCCTGGTTGGTGCCGCACATTTTTAAAAGACCAGATCTCCTGAGAACTCACTCACAGGTGCAAGGAATTCACTCCCATGATCCAATCACCTCCCACCAGGTCCTACCTCCAAAGATGGGGATTGCAATGCAACATGAGATCTGGGCAGGGACACACATCCAAACCATATCGTCAAGTATTTTGCTGATTGAAATATCCCATGAAGACTATGCCTTATTTCTATGCATTGAATTATTTTATGTAAATAACCAAAGTATATATAGCACCTCAGAATTGAACAAGATATGCTTAGAGCATTGACTATGAGGAGTAATTATTACTAAACATCTGCTATATACAGAAAAATGGATATGGATGCATATACCCTTTAACATATATGTATATGAAAACAATTTGAAATGTATAAGCTATTATAAAACTAAGGTTTTACTCTAGATGGAAGTTTTTTAAAGTCATAGTACTCTGTTTTCTGCTTTCTTATATAGCATATACTTTTTAATGTATTTTGAAGGAATGAACTTTCTTGGAAACCATTATTTATTCTACTTTTATTTTCCCGTGCATAAAAACAGCTTATAATTGTACTGAACACAAAATACAAACAAATACATTTTATTGCACATAAAAATACTTTAAATGAAATATTGCACATTAAAGAATTGATTAGGAAAGTCACAAACCTATTATGACTAGTATTATTCTAGGTTTGAACATTACAGAATATTTCCTGATAGAAATTTGCCACATCACATATTGCACATTTTCCAACACTTTTCCCTGTTTTACAAATATTCCTCATATTCTTTGCTTTTGTCTTTTCCCTGGAAAACACTGTATAAAAGGTTGTAAAGGCAAAGAAATAGGTATCGTTGAAAAGGATCAGTCTACAACTGAGGAAGTAAAAAAATAAATAATCATCCCATTCTTTGTGGGGAAAAAAATTACAAGGCAAATTGGCAAAATTCTCTAAAAAGAGAGAAATGTTACAGCTCTTAGTTTCATAAGCATTTGTCCATTTATAAATGCTCTCTGAGCTTAAGAGATTCAATTAGTTTAAATACCTCTGTCACCAGCCATAATTCCTTTGCTTACATTCAGTATTTAGTGCCAACATCTAACTCCTTCCAATAGAGCAAATGCATGAAGGGCTCTCACTCTCAAAGGTTGGTAGTCAGTCAGCAATAAATAATAAGTCTATGCCTAGTTGTTTCATTATTTCTGTATTCAAAACAATATAAAGTGCATCCAAAAGGTTTCATAGTCATTCTTCTTATTCGTGAGCATGATTATCAGTCAACCTGTGATGCTTTCAGAGCATGGCAGTAAGAATCCACAATGCAGATTTTCCTGAAATTTCTTCCTTTTTTTCATGGTTCTGTTTGGAATAAAATTCCCAAGATACTGTGAAATTTTTGTTGACAAAGTCTGTATGGAAAACTTGGGAACACAGAGCAGCATCAATTGACACAGATATTCTTAAGTTCCATCCTATAATGGTCAATAAGTAAATATGTTTCCTTATTATTTATAAGGTTTGTTACAGATCCAGTGTAAATTCTTCTCACATTCCATGCTGCTGACCTCTGTGTTATTCAGAAAAACACACTTCTCAGACCCTGTAAAGTTGAACCTGTCAAACAATAAAGAAACTTAGAATTATTTTCAGCTCATTGTTTTCATTCACTTACATGAGAATGAACTCTATGACGGTGACCTCTGCTTCTTTTAAATTCTTAGTAAGATACCTAATTCAAATAATTATAGACTAATCTGTAGAGACAATGGAAAGAAATAGTATGTGGAGAAACATGTGGAGATAAGAGGAAAGTACATCATTTGTTTGGTTGGCATGGCACTAGAAAAGTGATTCTTGGACATTTTTGAGTTCCTAGATTTTTTAATAAATAATTTCACAAAATTATATGCATGCAGCAGCCAAGCATACTAGTGCATACAGCTGTAGGGATTTTATGGCTCCTGATGCCCATCTGTGGATATGGAATCGTAGGACAAATATTAGGAATCCCTTTTCTAGAGATCTGAATTTAAATATTGATACCTTATCAGTAATTATCATAAAAACATTACGATAGTTGGAAATTTATTCAACTCTGAGTTTTGGATGACAAAGATCAACAACAAACTTATAAAATGATCTTTAAACATTAAACATATTTTAACTAAAGGCAATGAAAATAGAGTATCTTTAATTCTGGAACAAATTTTCTTTCAGCTCTATAGAAACTCTTAATTAGGCATTGAAAATGGTCTTTATTCTGTGGAGATGACAGCTGAGAAATAGTAAGAGGAATTTATTTTCCAACAACTGTCTCATTAGTAAAGTCTAAATGTGACACAAAAATAGGGTTTTGTTGCATCATCATAATTATTAGAATATTTCCAAATCAAGTAAATCTGTTACTCACATTAGAGTTGGCTGAGAAGAATTAGTATAAGCATTTGTTTTATGAATTATAAGTGTAGATAAAGAAAAAGGAATCATAATAAAGCCTGTCTTTAAAGAATTCCAGAGTATGCACATTTAGAAGAGTTTGTCAGAGCTCTTGAAGAGCTCAGCCTTTGTATCTAAAGTGCTTTGAAAGGAGAAAAGGAAAATTATTTTCCTGACATGCTACCTTGGTGAGAATAAAGAGACTTCTGGAGACTTACCAGTTGTTAAATTCTTTGCCATCTGACCACTTCCATGTCTGACCAGGTTCCTTTTTCAGTCCAACCCAGTGTTCACCTCTACCTGCATATCGTTTTAGAAAGTTCTTTAAAAAAGCACAAATGAGTTGTTACATTAAACACCTTTTGGAAATAGACACTAAATCCTGTTTCTTAAAAGTTGCAACTTGAGGCATGACAGCTCAGCTAACCATTTACTTATTCCATATAGCATCAGCTTATTTGGATTTCTGGTCTTTGAAGCAAAGCAATCAAATAAAATTAAAAGATGGAATTAGGCCAGGCATGGTGGCTCATGCCTGTAATCTAAGCATGTTGGGAGGCCAAGGTGAGCAGATCACCTGAGGTGGGGAGTTCGACCACCCAGCCTGACCAACATGGAGAAACCCTACATTTATTAAAAATACAATAAATTAGCCAGGCATGGGGTCATATGCCTGTAATTCCAGTTACTCAGGAGGCTGAGGCAGGAGAATTGCTTGTACCCAGAAGGCGGAGGTTGTGGTGAGCTAAGGTTGTGCCATTGCACTCCAGCCTGGGCAATTAGAGCAAAACTCCATCTCAAAAAAAAGACTAATTTCATTTTAACCTCAGGCTGATCACATGGCTCTCTGATATGGCATTTTCCTACAACTGTGGTAGGTACAATGTTTTTCACTTAGAAGGAAACCACTGATTAGCTACGTGAATTAAAATAATAATATTTTCTCTCTTTTTTAATTCTTACCATGTCCTTTTCAGAATCAATGACAACAAGAGTAGCACCATGTTCAGAACAAGCATTTTGGGCAGAAGTCCAGCTCTTCTTTACAGTGGAAATAAAGTAGCATTTCCTCTGGTAGCCAACCCAGTCATCCAGACATGAAGAAACATCGCTGTCTGATGGCACTGAGAATGTGTATTGACCTGGACAATTGTATTTTCCCACTGTGAACAGAAAAATGCTTTGTTTTAGTTACAAAAGAAACCAAATACCCAAATACCCATAGCATACAAAACTAGCCCAGGAATGCTATGTGGTGCTCGGTGGTGTTAAAGCAAAGGTTGAAAGCTAAAAAGGAGACTTCTGAAAAAGGTAAGAAGAAAGAAAGTTCTGAGGAATATATCGAATCTTCCATTGTGCCTAATCATTATCGGATGGGGGTATGAGGATAAGGGGGTGTACCTTTGGCCATAATGTCAGAAAATAACAGAAATATAGAAAAATTCTGAAAATTTGGAGTAGAGTTTTTTTAACTAAAAGAGGCAAGGTGCATTATAAATTTCAAATAAGGTTTTGAATCTGAATGCAGAGGTGGAGGTATTTGAAGATGCAGTATTTATAGCACAAAGTTGGAAAAGTGGAGAGAGTAATTTTTAGGGAACTAATTCACAATACAGAAAGAGGTATGACTGAGAGTATCTCAAAAAATGGTAAATGTTCCCACTTGTAAAAGACACAAATATGTCTTGGTACAGCTGTAGGTATTAAATAGCATATCATTACTGACTCTCTGGGAACTTTTAAATACAGTCTTAATTCTTCAGAACTACCATTCTGTGGCCTTTAAGAAAAAACACAGAATACTGGTAATTTCCTGATTAATCTATGGTGTTAGATATGATTTTTTCCCCATAATCAATGGATGTGAAGATTTTTTCTAGCTAAATACCTATTTATTCAGAATTCAAATCAGCTGTCTTCATTCTAGATGCAAACATCCTTTCAAATGCAATTTTATTCTACAGTAATACATAAATCATAGATACTTTTAATACTTATAAAAGTATTATGTTAATCATTCAAGGAATGTGGAATCATGTTTAGTATTGATTAGGAAATTGGCCATATATAGTATATGGGTTAATTGTAAATTAGCTACAATTTCTGATTAGCCAGACCAAACTAATATTGATTTCAGCTGGGCATGAATGCTACAGCTAGGAGGCTTTAAAAGAAAGTACAGACTCACCTGATAAGGCAATGAGGGTTATGATTAAAATGGTGATGAAGACCACATTCACTACAGCACATAGGACAGGAACTTGGAAGAACCCTTCACGTTGTGTTGAAAAATGGGGACTGTTGGCATCACCTGGAAGGGAGAAAGTTGATGATTAGTTCAGGCAGTCTATAAAAGTACTATATTAACATGTGATATTATTTTGAGGCATTTAAATTTAGTATTTCCCATCTCCTTATATGAAATTTCCCTATATCCTTATACATATTTCTAAGTTAATTTTTCCCCAGTTTTGAGTGAATTTGAATAGTCTCTTGTTGACTTGAAATGAAACAATTCAAACACAATGATTAGATCATAAAATATTTCCCCAAAATATTTACCTGGCACATATAATTTATATACTTAATAGCTATGAAAATTCTAAGTATATAATCATTTTATTGTTTCAATCATGACAAGAACATTTATTAAATATCCGCATGCCCTAGAAAACACATTAAAAAATTTCAGGGTGTGGTGGCTCACACCTGTAGTCTCAGCATTTCGGGAGGCTGAGGTGGGTGGATAGATCACCTGAGCTCAGGAGTTCAAGACCAACATGAGCAACATGGTGAAACTCTGTCTTCACCAAAAATACAAAAAATTAGCTGGTCATTGTGGCTTGCACCTGTGGTCCCAGCTACTTGGGAATTTGAGGTAGGAGGATTGCTTTAGCCTGGGAGGCAGAAGTCGCAGTGAGCTAAGATTGTGCCACTGCACTCTAACCTGGGTGACAGAGTGAGACCCTGTCTCAAAAAAAAAAAAAAATTCTAGCATAATTCTTTAACTTCCTTCTGGTTACTGTTGGAGAGAAATTATATGAATGGGATAAATATGGATAATATCATAAAGTAAAATATTGAATTGATATATAAATATCTAACATTAAAATGACAAAAATTTTTAAATATGAGTTTTTTTTGGTGAAGTTGGAGTTGGAATTTTCAGATATTATTAGTGGGAGAGTAAATTGGAAAAACACTTTGGAAACTGTTTCTTATAAAATTAAATATATGCCTTTTCTATGACCCAACAAATCTACTCCTATATATATCCTCAAGAAAAATGAAAACATGTTCTCAAAATGCCTTGTGCAAAAATGTTCCTAGCCGCTTTATTCTTAAGAACCAAATTCCAGAAATAACTCAAATACTCATCAACAGGAGAATGAATAAACAAATTATGGTATATCCACACAAGGAAATTCTGCTCAGCAGTTTAAAATAAAACAACTGATACATGCAACAAAGTGACTGAATCTCCAAAAAAAAATAAATAAATAATTTTGAGTGAAAAAAAACTCCAGCCACAAAAGATTGCATAATAAATATTTCTATTTATATAACATTAATGAATAGTTTACCTAAGCTCTGGTGACAGAAATCAGAACAGTAGTTGCCTTTGTGTGTGTAGGTAATTTAACTGCAGTGGGATATAGGGCAAACTGTCTGGGGTCATGGAAATATTCAAACATTGACTGGTCTTGTGGTTATACAATTGTCATGACTCATTAAACTATACACCTATGAACTGTGCATTCATTGTATGTAAACTAAACCTCAATTTAAAATGATGTGTGAATGAACTGTGAAATATTTAATTTTTTCAAAAGATGTTAAAATAATAGAGAAAATTTAACAGTATTATAGAGGAAATATTCAGTGAAAGTTTTTTCATTTACCCTCTGTACAGCGGTTAAACAAAGTAAAAGGCTTTTTTTTTTTCTCCGACAAGTAATGTTTCTGTGGAAGGATTTAGAATAGGAATATGATGTTAATGATAATTGATAGTTACAAAAAACTCTAGAAGGATAACTGTTCTACAGTCTAAGTAATAACTGAGGAAAGAGAAAAGAGAATATTGTGACTTAGATTTTGGATTTTAACTTTGCATGATAAGCTGTCAGGATTCTTAAAATGTGGCCCCCGAGAAGTACACAGATCCCTATTATATTCTCAAAAACTGAAATGTAAAATGGCTACTCGAATAACTGATAATGCAAAACAGTTTCAAAATTAAAAAGTTCTTTTTTTCTGTGTGGATGATTTTCATAAATTAAAAAAGTTTACATAAGATGTATGTTGAAATCCACATATCTTTACCCTTAAAACATTTATCTAAAGTTAAACTGTTCCAAGAGATGTTGCCTTTTTTTCTTGGTAATTTACTGGGTACTGGTGTCAACATCAACTTTTGCTTTATCTGGAAGTTATTTTTACCATCTTAGATCTGCACTCAGATTTTGCAGAAGATGCCTTTACCTCATGGCTACCTAGCTCAATTTTGTAGCTTCTCAGAGCAAATTTTCCTTTTTTCACCTGTATAGAATCATCGGAAGCAGCCTTTGCTACTTAAGGTAGCAAGTTCGGAGCTCTGTCTAGTTTCACTTCGTGCTATGTGAGGGGCAGCTGTGCTGCTTGAACTCAGTACTACAACAGCTCTGTCTCCTCAGCCAGCACTAACACACCCTAGTAACCCATGGGATCCAGGGTCTCACTGACCCATGGGATCCAGGGCTAGTGTTAACCAAAGTAACACCTATATCCTAGGTGACAAAACATTTCCCCCAACAGCACACTTTTGCTTTGATTTCAGGTCCTGCACATTAATAGAGAAGTTGAAAATAAACCCAGTTTGCTACCTATTGAATCATCCAGGGTGACATCCAGCAATTCTTCATACTAATAAAGCACCTTATTAGGGTAGCCTAAATTAGACATTCAACAGAAAGTTGAAACAATACAGGAAAAGTTAAGAATTTCTGCATTAAGTCTTTCTTTCAGCTATGTTCTCTATTTATTGAGTAATGATTATTATTTCTTTTTGCAGTGCAACTGGGTCATAACTAATGGCTCACCTGATTACCTGAAACTTTGCATGCTTTGCACTTGTTATCCATGCTAAATTTTATGTTCTTAAACACAGGATGGATTTAGGAAAAGTAATTGATGTTTTTCGGAAGGAAACTAATATAGTAGACACATGATTAGAAAATAATCCCTTTCTATAAGATTGTTTTAGTTCTGCTGTTTCTAACATATCCCTTTGTTACTGGCTAGCTCTTGCTGACAAGTAAAGTCTAATTCTTAAGTGCTAGTGCTTTAGGTACCTCATTAATTAAGGAGAAAGAGGAATAAATGAAAAAAAATCAAGAAATTTTACAGAAATAAGGTATAGAAAAATAATAGGCAAAATTGCAGTAATAGGAAGTAAACCAGATATGTGGATATAATAAACAAATAGAAGAGAGGAATCTTTCTAAGATGACTATATTTTGATTAGAAACAAAGGAAAGGAAGAAAAAATTGTAAGTCACATAGACTTTGAAGCCAGAAATTGGAAGGGTTAAATAGAAAGATGAAATGGAGGAAAAATGTCCTATAAAGAATACCAAAGCAGATGATTGCGTTTTCAGGAATCCTTTTGTGATTCTTTTAGTAAATTACAAATGGACACTGTAAAATGTTAGCTGCTTATATAGCAATTCTCTCAAAGATGGCAAACTTGCACATGTCCAGCAACTAGAGGATGCTGTCATGAGAACTTGGGATAAGGCACACTGAAAGAAGGTAAAGATGCAAGGGAAGGCAAGCAATGTAACTGCTTATGTGGAAAATAGAATTTTTCATAGACAGCACTTCCTGGAGAATGTACAGATAGATATGGAAAATGTTGGAGAATAACTGGGCTAGAGCAGGAAGTTTTCTAATTAAATCTAAACACTGAGATAATATAAACGGAAGCAAAGAGAACGATCTTTAAAGATCTTCATTTTTGCAACTTTCTCTCATCTCAGGTATTAGAACTCCTTATACATAAAGAGGGATTCACCTCTTCCCTATAGTAGAACCTGTCTTCTCTAAAAGACAAAGCCTCACTTTCTTCCCTGAAAACCATTATATATCACATATATAGAGATTACCAGTATATTTTCTCTACTATTATATATTTTATATATGTATAGATTACCAGTATATCTTCTGTAACTACTATTATATGTTATATGTAGAGATATTATAGAGTATATATGAAATCAGATCCGACTTACTTTCTTGTTTACTCTTCGGATGCAAAGAGCTGTTCTCTGTTATGAAACAATTTTCAGAGCTCATCTTTGTTCTCAAGATTCCTTAATCTGAGGTCACGCTGATCTACAGTGAAAGTCTTTGCTGGAGCTCTTGTTCAGTCTCTGAGATGCTGAGGCATCTCAGAATATATACTCCCTGATGGTGTCTCCACCCCCTTCCTCTTACCACCTACTTGCTTGACTACATTATTTCTCTTTAATTTATGCTCCAGCAGCCCAGACAATGTACAGTGCGTTGTTGTGGTAAAGTATGGGTTTTCCCTGTTGTCTGAAATGTGCTTTTTCACAACTGTAAGGTGTAGCAGGAGGCGAGTGGGATTTTCCCAGACTCTGAGACATCCTTCCTTAAATTTCTGGAAAACAAAAACAGTTTAGGAGACAGAATAATCTAAGAAAAGAGTAAAAGTTAGAGATTCCTGTCTTTGAGATGAAAATAATTTGGAGAAAGAGAGTGTAGTATTTTCCAGGAATCCCATTCATTTGTTTATTCATACATTTAACTGATATTTACTGAACACCCCCTATGCACATAACACTGTCTGGAACCACAGGATTTATTATTGAATATGGATTTTAAGATCTCTATGTTCATGGATCTCTCTCCAGCCTGGAAGAGTTTTATTTAGAAAGCTATAAACCGGTTTTTGAAAGTGTGTCATTCACTTCTTCCCTGGGGACTAGATGTGCCATCTAGTAAGAAGTTGTTTTAATGCAGCAAACAGAAAGCTTGTGGTTTGGAACTTCCTTGCTATGTTGTAAAACTGTTTATCTTAAATGATCTGTTTCATTTTTCTCCTGCTAATTTTCCTGTCATTAATTACTGACATTTAAACTGCTTTTACTTTACCTTGGTAACATCTTCTTCAATTCTTCCCCTCTGGTCTATGTTATTCTCTTCAGATACCTCTGAGACTTCAGTCATTGAAGTATAATTATTATTTTAAAGTACTGCTGTGTTATCAGTCTCATTCAGATAAGTAATGACAGTCAACACAAGATGAATGCAGAGTGCTATGTATGGTGATTGAAGGAGCGAAATCAAAATACCACTCTGGTTAATAATCTTGGTGCCCATAATTTTATTACTAATATTATTTCTTTAGAATAAAGACATTCTGCTTTCAGAATAAAGCCTTGATGCAAATTTTAGGCATAGGTAGGTTGGAAGTTAGTTGGCCATTGGATGCATTTTTCTATCTAATACACAAAAAGGTACATGTTGACCCTAAAGGCTCCCTTTGCTTCCATTCTATTTTTCAGTTAATTTCTTAGTACCTTTCTCACATGGCAGCCAGAAACAGTGTTTTATAATTAGGTTATATTATTTTGTAGAAGTGTTTAACTCCTTCCCCATTCACTTTGAAAGGCTTCCTATCAAAAGTACCATAAAACCCAGAGACCTAATAGTTGAGAAGGTTTTATACATAATACGGCCCCTGGTTATCTCTCCTACAATTTTTCCTCTTATTCACTCTCCTCTCTGACAGTAACCTCTCCCTTAAAAATGCCAAGCATCCTACCACTACAGGGCTTTTACATTTTCTCTAGAAGATTGTTTTTCCATCAACCTGCATGTCTTGCTCTCCCTTTAACTGACTCACTCTTCAGCTGCTACCTGCTCAAAGAAATTGTCACTTGTCATTCTATGTAAAATAGAACCTCACACTCTGCACCTCTACAGATCATGGTCAATATATGATACTATATCATGGTTTATTATCTGTTTCCCTTATGAGACTGCAAGATGCTTGGGGGCAAGAGTTTTGACTTCTCTCCTCTGTGCCTCTAACACCTTCCATAGTAACTGGAATCTAGCCTGTATTCCATGAACATACTGAATGAGTGAATGAATGAAAAATATGTATAAAACTAAAAGTTCTAAAATATGGAGTGCTATTTATTGGGGTTTGTAGGATTGTTTGGTTAAGAAGTGTATGGCCTTAGATTGCCACATGCAAATCTAGGGACAGACGTGGGGTCATTTATACAGGTCGTCAGGCATGGTCTTGTTGAGGAGGTCATATGTAGAATTAAATAAAAATGAGAGGAAAAATTTAACCATGGAAAATCTGAGAACAGAAAGAACAAGAGCAAGAACACACTCTGTAAAATAAAAATAAGTTTAGCTTCTTAAGGAAAAGAAGGAAGGTCAGTGTAGTAAGTCAGTAGTACCTCAGGAAAATGACCACAGAAATCCCCTGAGCTTTGGCTTTGTTATCTGTAAACTAAAAATATAACATCCAATTTATGAGGTTTTTATGAAGAAAAATTATGAACTATAACATGTGTAATATAGTATTTGGTACATACTATTCGTTCAATGATGTGTAAGGGAGTGACAGTTTGATACATGTCATAAAAAGAGAAAGTTCCTCAATCGATGTAAGGAATTCAGAGATAGTAACTGAAAAGTCATAACATAATTGCTGATGCAATGTGATGTGTCTTTTCTCTGAGAAAGAGGCAGAGGAAACTGCAGTCTCCTACAACCTCCTCTAACAGGTTTCATGGCACTAAGACTCGTCTGCTCAAGGTTTCTTGCTTCTTAAACCACAATCGAGTGAATGAATATGTGTATACACACAAATATACACACACATATATACATGCACATGTTTATATATATGTTATATATAAATATATATTTTACATTTATGCCCTAAGCCACAGAAAATGATACCTAGAAATCGTATTTTTAAACATTGCAACATAGATCAAAATCAATTAACTTTATTTTGTAGTCATTTTTCTCTGCCCTTTTTTTTTTTTTTGAGATGGAGTTTCACTCTTGTTGCCCAGGTTGGAGTGCAGTGGCCTGATCTCAGCTCACTGCAACCTCTGCCTCCCGGGTTCAAGCAATTCTTCTGTCTCAGCCTCCTGAGTAGCTAGGATTACAGGCTTGTGCCACCACACCTGGTTAATTTTTGTAATTTTTTAGTAGAGACAGGGTTTCACCATGTTGGCCAGGCTGGTCTCGAACTCATGACCTCTGATGATTCCCTCACCTCAGCCTCCCAAAGTGTTGAGATTACAGGCGTGAGCCACTGCGCCTAACCTTTCTCTGCTTTTTTATAAATGGGAACAGTCCACGTATTTTGTTGAAATCAGCACTTGGGTGTGTGGGAGGAGGCAGCCACTGTAAACAAAAAGGCAGTCAATTTTCCGAGTACCTAGTTATCAGTGGCCTCCTAGATAGCCACTGGGCCCCCTGCTGCTCAAGGTCCTCTGCAAGAGCCCGAATTAAGGAACTTTTTCTTCATTTCTCTTCCCTCCTTTACATAATTCTATTTTTCTTAAGTGCCAGAAATCTCTTTCAGATTTGAGAAAGCAATAAATATAAACTCACAATGAATAGTGGCTGCTTGGCACTGTCCTAGCTGATACCTGTTGTTAATTATTAACAACATGTAATTATTAACAGCATGCTATTTACTAATTATTAAGAGTATGCTATTTCATTTGTGAGAATGTCCTCTTAGGAACAAAAAACTATATGCCCATGGTACTAATTAATACTTGTTAAGCCGAAGAAACATATCTCTGCATGTGAAATTCCAGAGAAAAACAAAGCAAAATTTAGAGGGTCAAGATGCAGCATGGGAGAGATTTGGGGATCAGGGGTTCTTCAGTGCCCCTTATTTATCAGAACATGGAAGCAAACTTCTTGTGGCTAGCCCTTATGAGTTTAACTCTAAACAAAAAGAAACACATAAAGAAACAAATCTTGTGCAAATAAACCCTTTTCAATCTGTTTATAAAACACAGATGTCAGTAACATGTAACATTTCATTTTAGGGAGACAATTTTTGTGTCTTCTTTCAGAAATAATATGTAAAAATTAAGTGAATTTCTTTTAGGGCAGAGATTATCATTCACATTTCATAGTTTAGCTGAGAAAACTGAGTCCAAGAGAAATGAGTGGGGGGACAAAGTTGGCAGAAGCCATTTAGGGCACCAAAACTCAATGCAGCTCTTCTTCCTGTGTGACCTTATATGAAGATTCCGGGATGAGGCGTCAGAAAGGAAATAAAGATGAAGTAATATGAGCTAGATGCAAAGCGTGCACAGAAGGCGGGGTACACTGTGCTTATCAGACAGCTGCAGCAGCAGGATGCTTTGGGTACATGTGAACAGGGACCACAGACTTCCGACCTAAAGACAATTTCCGGATACAACTTGCTCATCTTTTTTTTTTCCTTTCAATGGGTGAATTCGGTTTCTGAATGGCTTTAATCTTCTTGTGAATCAAAACTTCAATTTAGAATACATCATCCTTTGTTAATATAAATTATGCAAATTGGTAACATTTATTTTTAAACTGCAGGTGCCTGTGTGTTTTCGAATTGTTTACCGTACAAGGTCAGTGAAGGTAACCATGAGTAAATGGAGGATTTCCAGTTTTAAACACTTTCCTATTTTCTCTCCTCTTGAAGTCTTTGAACTTTCTAATTTTCCTCTTCAGCGGAATGTCTCCTAAAACACAAAAATGAGCATGGAAGGTGTGAGCTGGCATGTTCTTCTTTTTGACTTGAGATGGTGAAGGCAAAATATAGTGCTTGTGTACACATAAACTTGAACTCTGTAAAATTTGTTTCTGAAAGTAAAATATATAAAAGAATAAAAGAAGAGCGATACTAAAGATGAGATATAATGCTTAACCATGTCTGAAAACTTTACCTAAATTAATTCCAGATTTATCTATATAAAACATTTTTGGAGATTACTCTTAAAGATAATGGTGTGAAAATGGCAAATATACCATATAGAATATTTGAGTCGGCCAGGACCTGGGCTACTATGCCAGTATAAAACGTATCCAATTGTACTTGGATCTTGCTTGACAGATGCATTATGAATTTGAACAGAACTGCTTATCCCACTTCCTGTAGATCTATGTGCACCTAACTCACCTAGTGAGAGAAACACCTCCAGGTGGAAGACATTCTGGGACTTTTATCTTTCCTCGGACCAATCAACCAATGTGAAGTTCAAGTGTATTGAAATACTTCTGATGGATTGAATTGGACTTCACTGAAATGAGGTATTAGGAAAGGAAAATGGAAGGCTTAAAAGGGAATTCACAAGAAAGTATGAGAGGTTGA